GTTAGTTATCTAAACTGATCACCAGGGGCGGTAGCTTAGTTGGTTAGCTATCTAAACTGATCACCAGGGGCGGAGCCAGGTAGGGCCGAGGAGTTTCATGAGCAAAACCAAAAACAGAGAATTGGAGGTGCGGGGAATCGAACCCCGTGCCTCTCGCATGCGAAGCGAGCGCTCTACCATATGAGCTACACCCCCAATTATTCTTAAGCAAAGAAATTAAACTATTAATTAAAATTAATGTGTTAATCGGCCTTTCCACTACTTGTATTTTTATTTTTGTAAACTCTTCCTTTATTTATTTTTCCTATTTGTAGGTGTGAATATTCTATATGATTTGATGTAATATTTTACTTTCTGTATTGAGACTAATTTACTTAAAAGCATATTTTAATTAACACTGATTAAGTGAAAGATACGTATGTGCAAACCAATGTTATATATATTTATTAGTTTGGCGTGAATTCCTTATATAGTTAAATTATAAATTTGAGTTTAAGTTTTATGTTATTAAAGTATAAAAATATTTATCTAATTAGGTTATTTAAGAGACAGTTACATATCTATTTTCAAAATGCCTCCTAAGTAAGTGATGGAGTTTAGTAGTTCTTGTTCATAAAAAAATTTATTAATTGACGAAGTATAATAAATATGGAGAAGAAAATTATATTCTTTCAAATATTGAGAAAATCAGAAGCACCTTTGAAAAAAGGACAAGTTATTCACATTTTATTTGATGATCATAGGTAAATAGAAAGCTAATTTCATATATAGAAATAACATAACTATTTACGTAGCTATAAATAATTTCACTAAAAATTATTTTTAACTATAAAAAATAATATATTCATTTTAAAATAGATTTAAAAAAGTAACACTTGACTTAAGGTAGAGGGAATATAATTTTGAAATTTAGTCAAGTTATCCACACAAATAAATGCATGGCCGACAACATTAATTTGCCGTAGACTTAGGGCAACCACAGTAGATAATTGAAGCAAGTTTACCAAAAAAGAATAAATTAAAATATTAACTTTATGATAATTTTTTATTAATATTAATTTCTTATAATAGTTTTTTATTAATATTAATTTCATATAAGATTATTTGATTAAAATAAGTGAGTGGACGAAAAATACTAACGTTAAAAGATCATACTTATGAAAATTTTATCATGAAAAGAAAAAAAGAAGAGGAATATTAATATTCGAATATAAATTTATCCATCAGTTACATTGACTACATAATATAATTTGCTTTTTTTTAATAAGATCCTATATATATTTTTTTAATCATAAATATTCAATTTTAAGATAAATATTACTATTATATAATTAATTCAAAAAGCTGTTGAGAAATTCAAAATAAAATTTGCTTTTATTTTAAAGGACAAAAAAAAAAAAAATCTATAGAAAAAAAAACAGATGCTGCATGCAGAGGTTTGGAAATTCTCCCCCTTTTTTCATTTATATTTAACATTCACGTTATGTACATCGTTAGTATAAAAATTATCATATCATTGAAGAAATGTTTTTATAGATGCTTCTCAAAATATATTTATTATATTGAAAATAAAATATATCATCAGCTAGTTATATTATAACAATAATAATTATGATAGCTTTTTATGATTGATAATTTGATATTCCAGTCAACTTGCACATCTCTAAACTTGCCTTTCCAAGTCAAGTCATCTAAAACAAGCAAAATTTTGCCCCATTTGTCAATGCATGAATTCTTGAAAATAATGACTTATTTTTTTGTTTGAGAGTGGCGTAGGTATTACTGGGAACAAAGATGTTTTTCTTGGAAATTCTTGGATAACCAGTAATTAGAGCTGTCAATATGGGCTGGCCCACTCCATCCGGGCTAATCCATACAGGCTTTGAAATTTGGCGGGTCAGGGCGGGTTAGCCCATTTTTGGTGTGGGCCAGAAAATGGTCTGCCCAGTCCACAAGTACGTGGGCTACGGGGTTGCCGGGTCAGCCTTCTTTACGTAAAGATATATTTTTTATAATTTTTTAAATTAATTTATAATTTAAAAATATTATCATAAATATTGACAAGATAATATTACATGGTGTTAGTGTTACTACTTCTTAATCAAATCCACAAATAAAATTATCATTATAATATTTATTAAGTTTGATTTCAAGTAAAAACATAAATAGCTAAATAAAAATATAAACCAAATTATTTTCCAATGATCATAATAAAACACAAAAAATTATGACAATATTCCATAGGCTACGGCCTATGTAGTGATTACTAGAAATTTTAGGAAATTTTTATTTTACGTAATATGTATTTTATAAACATAATTTGTATTTAAATTGTAATATTCAAACTTTAAACTGTTTTTGAGTTTAGACTCTTGTTATTTTTAATACTCTATTTTATTTTTATTTTTTAATTAATTTTATTTGGCCCACGGGCCGGCCCTATCCATATTTCTCAAGCCCCACAAATCGATAGACTTATTCAGGCCGGGCTAAAAAGCCCTTTTCTTAAATGGGCTCCAAAAATTGTAGCCCAGCCCTATCTAATCCCTAGTTAGGCCAGGCCGGCCCAACGGGCCTAGCCCATATTGACGGCTCTACCAGTAATTGTTACTATCTCTGTTATAACCTATGTCTTTCGGGTGAGCACTGGATAAATTCCTTAATGTGTAATAGCCTGCAAACTATACAAAAACCGTACTAGGCAAGCCCTATGCGACAGACTCGACATAGAAGGTCATTGAGGGGGAATCGATCCCAGAAACCAACTGAGCCATCTCGAAGGACCAGAAACAAAGATTTTTTCTATCGTAAATTAATAAAAATTTTGTGTTACAAAATATGATTTTTTCCCCACCTATTTTCTATAGAATCAGTTCAATAGAAAAACGTATGGTAAAAAATAAATTCTCGGTGAAAAACTAAAAAGCTTCCTAATTTTTTCTTGCCCCTAATTTCAATGGAAAATAATGATATTTTTCTTTGGGGGGTGGGGGAGGGGGTTCCTATATAAACCTTTAACTAGCTAGGTTTGCAACATCAACAAAACAATAGTTATAGAAAAGAAAGAACAAATTATATATAATCAGAAAAAAAAAAGTGCACTACTTTATTAAGGATGAAGGATATGAGGAATATTAAGTTTTGGTTGTTGGTGCTTTATCTGATGTTGGTGGCCAATCAGTGGCAGAGGTAAGTGTGTTTAAATGGGTTCAATCAAATCTCCTTCGTTCAAATATTAGACGGTACAAATAGGATGAAATAATCTTTTTGTATATATATAAGTTGTTAAATTTCCTTTCACATTATCGACATAACGATAGATCGACATTTGCTTAGCTTTAAACCTCCAAGGTTGAAGGCTCCAAGAGAACTAATCTAATCATATTATAAAATATAATTTCTGTATATATTTATCGTTAATATTAAGTTTTAAATTCAAGACCAGCCATCTCCAAAAGGCCATTTGCAAATCACTCATCTTATTATGATTCGACTTTAAGTCAATAATTTCTTGGAGTCGCTCTATTTCTTGATAGTAAATTGTGTTACACATCATTCAATTCCATATATTTTATTAAGGGAAAATGTTCAAATATGTCACTGAACTTTGACAAAAGACTTATTTATGTCATCCATTAAAAGTTTGGTTACGTTCATCTATGTCATTTTTGCTTGAGAAAATGCTCATCCATGCAGGGTGTAGCTACACATTGGACACCCTTCGTCGAAAAATTATACCGTAAATACAAGTAAAATGATAAACAAAATGGTTAAATAACATACTCTGGACACCATTGACACAAGAATATGATGTAGTCCAGTGGTTTTAGGTGCCTTCAAAGGGCAAAAAACACACAAATTTAAAGTGTTCGTGTGTTCAAATCTCTCTAGTAACAACTCTTTTTGGATGACATAGATGAACTTTTCCCCAAAGTTCGATGACAAATTTGAACCTTTTCCCTTTTAAAAAAATGATTTAATTAATGATGTAGCCGAATCATAATTGACCACGTGTAAAAAAAAGATTTTGCAAAATAAAAATTATTTTTAGTTAATAAATAATGGCATGGATGAGCCTTTTCTCAAACAGAAATGATGTCAAAATTGGATAGCATATGTGAGCCTTTTCCCTTCTATTAATATAAGTAATTACATTCAAGACAAGTTATTTCTTGGTTTTTTTTGTTGAAATTTGCCTAAATTTACAAGAATGACTTTAGAGGTGGTAGGTCTTGAACTTTTGACCTCGTTTGCCTCCGGGGAAGAAATTTGATTTTCCGTCTTGAAAGTTTGCCATGAAATAAACAGAGGTCAAACATTCAAGACAAGAATGACTTTAGAGGTGCTTAATTCATGTCAAACTTTCAAGACGGAAAATCAAATTTCTTTCCCAGAGGCAAACGAGGTCAAAAGTTCAAATTAAAGACCAACCATCTCTAAAATCATTCTTGTAATCACTCCTCTTATTATGATTTGACTTTAAGTCACTAATTTCTTTGACTCGCCCTATTTCTTGATAGTTTAATTGAATTCACTCATCATTCAAATTCATATAATCTTAATACAAGTAATTACATCCAATGGTCTTAGAAATGACATGTCTTGAACTTTTGATCCCAGTGGACAAACTTTCCAGGCCAAAACTCAAAACTCGTTGAACTTGAACTCTTACCCACTGAGACAAACATTCAAGACCAGAAACCTTTAAGACGAGTTATAGATTAACCCGTTGTTTTGTTTTTTTTGTATTCACTCATCATCATTCAAATTCATATATATATATATATATATTCTTTCGAAACCTTTTTGTTAAGATCCATAGTTCAAGAAGTAAGTCCTTTCTATATTATGTTTCAATGAGAATAGAAGCGGATCACTTTCAACCTGTCTTGTAATCGTGTTCTTTCTACTCACGTACGTGTTCATAGGCCTTCCTACACACACATATGTCCATCAGGATAGGTCATCAAGTTCGAACTATTTCATTACTATATGTATTTTTATGGCCTCTTATTATAATTTGGCTTTAAGTTACTCCATTACACATCTTGTGGAAACCTTTTTGTTAGGATTACTGGTTCCGCTGCTGCACCCAACAGGTGTTGGGAGGAAGAGAGGAGTGCTCTACTGAAACTACAAGAAAACATGATGAGTTCAAATGGGGGACACTTGACCCTTTGGGAAGTCTATAATGAGACTGGTTTTTTGGATTGTTGTTCATGGCGTTGGGTAAAATGCAACTTAACAACAGGTCGAGTGATACAACTTAATCTTAGAGCAGCAAGGCAAGGATCAGCGGATGGTTGGAGTTTTAATGCCTCTCTGTTTCTTCCATTCAAATCACTACAAGTTCTTATATTGTCTGAGAATTATATTACAGGGTGGAACAAAAATGAAGGTTAGTCTCTCTTTATTCGTTATCTGGTATTCAAAATTCATCAACTCGATTAATATCACATTTGACCAAGTTTTTCTGAGGTCAATAGTGTTTATCATGAAAGGCAGTGGCGGAGTCAGAATTTTTAATTAAGGGGTTCAAAATCTGAAGAAATAGACACACGAAGTAGCCTAAGGGAGTTTGACATCTATTATATATACATAAAAAATTATTTTGACCATGTAAAAATAATATAATTTTCCCTAAAGATAGGGTGGCTCCGCCACTGATGAAAAGTGAGGTGTTTGATGCTTTTGAGAGGCCAAAAGTATTTTTGAGGAGTATCAAAAACTGTTTTTAGGAGCTAAAAGAAATACTCCCTCAATTCACTTTTACTTGCTATAAAAAAAAATCACTTTTACTTGTTCACTTTAGCTAATCAAAAGAAAAACAATTTCTTTTTCCTGTTTTACCCTCAAGGTTAATTACTCATTTCAAATTATTTCTCAATTCCACCAAAGACGATTAATATGCATATCATGGTAAAAATATAAACACTTAATTTGTTATTCCTTATATACATTAATAACATGATTTTTTAATATTTTTTTTCACTTGTGATTTTGTTATCTAGGGTTCAACAAACTGTCAGAGTTGACCAACTTGAAAGTACTTGATTTGCAGCACAATTATCTCCTCTTTCCAAATGTTTTATCATCTTTGTGTTGGATTTCATCTCTTGAGGTTCTAGGATTTAATCGTGTCTTCGGATCACAAATGGGTGCAATTGAATTTCCTTCGTTGAAAAATCGCTCTGCGCCTATAGGTACATAATACTACTCCTCTATTTTTTATTTTTTTTTGCACTTATGTTTGTTGAATATCCTAGCATAACGAAAACTTTAATAGTAATGATAAAAGGTAGCAATTTTGGCTCCGTCAATGTATGTCACCTCTTTTTTTCTTCTAAAGTTGTGGTGTTTAAACCAATAGATTTTGAATTGTGGCCATTGTTGGAAAAATTTAAGCAATATTAGGACTCATTTGAAATTATTTTATTTTTATTAGATGAAGGCATAACTAAGAAATGTCCAGGGATGAGCAATTTAAGGGAACTCTTGGTGGCAGGATATGGAATCAATGACACCAGTTTCCTTTCTACACTGGGTAAGCTCCTTTTCCATTCATGTATACAAATTAAGCTGAAGTCTCGAGTTCGAGCTCTAAAAATTTAAAAAATTCTAGTACGGAGTGTTTCATTCCTTAATGGCCTTACTCTCTGTGCGAGTCAAGATTAGACAGAGCCCTAAAACAGGTACTAAACACAAGAAACCCAAAAAAGAAGTTGCTTAGAATAACACACGTACTCTCTCTGTTTCAATTTGTTTGTTTTACTTTTGTTTTTAGTTTGTTTCAAAAAAGAATAATTCTTTCACTTTTTTAACAACTCTTTAATTCCAATTTTTCACATTACCTGTTTAATAACACAAAGATTAAATGACACTTTGATACATTCTACATATCTTTAATTTAATATAAGAAGATTCAAAAAGTAATTTTCTTAAACTCTGTACCAAGTCAAAACCAAACAAATAAATTGAAACGGAAAGAGTGTGTGATTGGAGTAAGGCAAATGAATTCAATACATGTATCGTGCTAATTGTCTCCACCCCCCACCCCCCACCCCTCGAAGAGGAGCGGATCCCCACTAGGGCCCAAAGCTCACATTGTTTTTTGTTTGCCTAGATTATGTATAACAAATTTCATAAATCAATGCAGGTTTTGGTACACTTACTGGACTAAGGAATTTACAGAGACTCTATTTGTCTAGCAATGACTTCAATTCCACCATCTTTTCATCTCTTAAACATCTTCCATCTCTCAAGCATCTAGATCTCAAAAACAATGACATTGTTGGAAAAATTGAAACGAGTGGTTCGTTGAACTTCTTACTATCACATGTATATTGCTTCAATGTCGTATAACAATTGTAGTAGAATGAATAAGATCCCTTCACCCTTAACGACATGTCTCAAGTTTGAGACGTGTCAATGAATTTCTTCTTTTTTTTGTTGTGCTTATTATTTATTTTGATTTACTTGTGTAGATATAATAGCCTTGAGCAATTTGGAATTTCTAGATCTCCGGAGGAACAATTTTGAGGGCTTTGTGACTACCAAAGGTACAAGGATTTCTAACTTCTTAGGAACTTGGTCCCTTCAAGCAATATTGTCGTGTTTTTCTTTTACGTGCCTCTTAACTAAACATTAACTAGAGTATATTTTTGGCTATTTTACCCTCATTTATGTACCAATAAACAGGTAGTAGAAGAATGAGTTCACTGCGGAATATACGACTTGGAAGTTCTAAGTCCAACTCGACCAACATCTTACAATCCTTAAAATCATTCTCATCTCTCAAGAGACTTTCTTATGAATATAGTGATCTCAGTGCTTCTTCCACAACTTATGGTAAGCTCTAACTCAAACTCTCTACATTATTCCGCAAGGGCAAACGAGTCGGTTGAGCAAGTGATCTCCCAAATGAGAGGTCTCAGGTTCAAAATTTCCTCTATGCTTTTTCGATCGAGCTTGCCTAGTGCAGCATACCTCTATTACATTGGAGAGGGTTTACCATGTGCACACGCGCACCTGTAGGGTAGCAGTTGCGAGTTCCCTTGTCAACTTTCTTTTATGTTGATATTGTGTTTTTTCCTTTGACTCTCTGATATAAGCAATAAGAAATCTGAGCAAACTGGAGTACTTGAACTTGGAGGGATCTTATTTAAATGAGAATTTTCTCTCAAGCATTGGACAAATGGATTCTCTTAAAGTGCTGAATATGGCTTTTGGTGGCAATTATGGCACCCTCCCTAATCAAGGTAGTGTTATTTTCTCTCTTTTTTCAATTTTTTTTACCATGAATCTATTCATATATGCATAATTGTTGTGGAGGATCATGAGTTAACACACAAACAACCACACCAACGCAAATAGAAAAGAAGAATAACGCTGGGATTTAACGATATTTAACCAAACCTATATCCTCGAGGCAAAACCAAAGAATTTTCCACTATGAATGAAAATAATCGTACAACAAAAATCCTCAATTACAACTCCTTTGTATAGATCACATCTATTCCTAAACCTACAAGGACATAAGTTTTCCAGCCTGCAATGATAATAGGTTTCTCAAACCTACCAGTAAATCTGACATAATTAAAATTCTGTGAATTTTTTTTTATATAACCGTGGTGTCCGGGCAAGTTGCACGTACCTCGACTAATTTCACAAGATACCTGCCACCTCATACCAGGAACAAGTTCCAAATAACACTATCCACGAAGACTAGAACAAATGAAAAGAAATCACCTAGTGTTTTCCATCTTCGGTGGGATTTGAATCAGAGACCTTCTGGTTCACAACCCACCTCATTGACCACTAGGTCACACTCTTCGGTGCAGATTCACACGATTTCAGAAAAAACAACATAGTTTATTGTACAAATTTATGTTAGCTAAATGTCATCTGAACTTTCTTTTTTAAAAAACATAGGTTGGTGTGAGCTCAAAAACATTCAAGAGGTGGCACTCATTGTGAATAGTTTTGAGGGAACAGTTCCTTCATGTCTTGGGAACTTGACATCACTTCGATGGCTTAGCCTTGATGGGAATCGCTTCACTGGAAATATAGCCTCATATCCTCTTTGGAGAACACTCACATCACTTGAGTACTTGGATATTTCATTTAACCAATTTGAAGTTCCACTATCGTTCAGTCAATTCGTCAACAATTCAAAACTTACCTACTTGAATGTTGGCTATAATACTATAACTAGAGACGTCGAATTCAAGAATTGGATCCCAAATTTCCAGTTGCAGCTTTTTGTTATTCGGGGATGCATAAACCTTCAAAAATTGCCTTCTTTCCTTCATTACCAGCACGACTTGAGAGTTCTCTCTATAGACAAAAATCAATTGCCAGGAAAGTTTCCAACTTGGTTGTTAGAGAATAACACCAGACTTGCAGGCTTTTATGCTAGAGATAATGCTTTCATCGGACCGTGGAAGTTGCCATCCAGTAGTCATCTCTGTTTAGAGGAACTTGATGTCTCTAATAACAAACTAAGCGGACGTGTTCCAGCAAACATAAGTTCAGCTTTCCCAAAGCTAAATCTTCTGAACATGTCACAAAATTTGCTTGAAGGTCCTATACCTTCTGATATTGGCGGGTTTCATTTAGTCACACTGGATATATCTCACAACCTCTTGTCTGGAGGAGTTCCTAGCGATCTGGCAGTTAGTTCTCCATTGCTGAGTTACCTCCGGCTCTCAAACAATAGGTTGTCAGGGACAATATTTCCAAAGGATATCAGACCAAGTATACTATTTTATTTGTACTTGAACGGAAATAGGTTTGAGGGACCGTTACCTAGTAACATTTTTCTCAAACCCCTTATTGCACTGGATGCTAGCAGTAATAACTTCTCTGGGGAGATTCCAAGATGGATTAGAGATAACAAAAGATTGTTACAGCTCGATTTAGCCAAAAATCATCTTGAAGGCTCGATTCCAGTTGAGATTTGCAATTTGAAGTTCATTCAAGTCTTAGCTTTGTCCGAAAACAGACTCTCAGGACCTATTCCTTCTTGAGTGAGTGGTTTACCCCTTGAACACATCCATCTAGACAAAAATCAATTGGGCGGTGAACTTGAAGATTCATTTTTCAACATATCTCTGATAACATTGGATCTTGGCTACAACAATTTTACAGGAAACATCCCACACACCATAGCCTCACTTTCAAGCCTCAACTTCCTTCTCCTCAATAATAACCAATTGGATGGAGAAATTCCAATTCAGATTTGTCTGCTAAACAAGTTATCCATCATGGATTTGTCTTTTAACAAGCTTTATGGTTCGCTCCTTCCTTGTTTGGGTAACTTAAAGCAAGCGGAAAATGATGCAGAAACAAGTAGTGTATATTATCATGCATCTTCCAGGATGGCGTGGTTAGAATTCTTGAGTTGGATAAGTTCAACAAGGCACTACCACATTTCATATGGATTTCTAAGTGACTTCAATATGATGGATGTGGAAACCCAAGTCCAGTTTTCAACAAAAAGAAACTCGTACACTTACAAGGGAAGCATTCTAAAATATATGTCAGGTATTGATCTCTCAAGTAATGGATTAACAGGTGAAATACCCATTGAGCTAGGAAACCTGAGCAAAATACATGCATTTAATCTATCGCACAACCATATCTTTGGAAGAATCCCATATACCTTCTCAAATTTACATGAAATCGAGAGTCTGGACCTATCTCACAACAGCTTGAATGGGACAATTCCTGTTGGCCTACTTGAGCTGTACTCTTTGGCAATATTCAGCGTAGCATACAATAACTTATCTGGTGCAGTACCACCATTTAAAGCTCAATTCTCAACTTTCGACAAAAGCAGCTATCAGGGGAATCTTTTGCTATGTGGTTATCCATTAGACAACGAGTGTAACCGTTCTAAATCATCAAATACCTCAAACAATGGAAGCGAGGAATCTGTAGGATTTACGGATACAGACCTTTTCTACATCAGCTTTGTTGTGTTTTATGGAGCAGTCTTGCTAGGAATTGCTGCAGTACTCGGAATCAATCCTTATTGGAGAACAGCATGGTTTAGGCTTGTTGAGGTTTTGATGCTCAGTTCTTACTATTTTCTCTTAGACAATGTTGTTACACCCATCAAGAATAGATGGTGGAGGAACCTTGGATAATATTTGCTCTCATTCTTATTGTATGGACAAGTAGGTGAGAGGTTCAAACTCAAAATATGGGAAACATATTGTTCTTCGATTCCTATTACTATCTATTGTTTCTTGTACTTCTACAATCGTATTGTTTTGTTGTAATACTATTATGTTACTATCTATTGCTTCCTCTACTTTCGGATTGATTTGGATTATTTGTCTTGAATTGAGGGTGTACCAAAAATAGACATTCTACCTCTAAGTTAGGGGTAAGGTTTGCATCCACTTCACTTGGCCTACATGTGTCTATGGTCAAGTGCGAATAATATTTAGCCAACTCAGCGTGTGTTTAAAATTTATGTTAGTAGTAGTCCTCGTGGGGACGCTTCAAATTTTATTTGTTTAAATTGATGCAAAAGTCAACTAGTGAAATGAACAATAAATGGATCATTGTGATTTCTTGCTAAACTGCAGTGTTCAGTCCTAGCTATAAATTTATTGTTTTAAAATTTTATTTTTTGCAACAAAAAAAAAAAAAGAAACAGCTCAAGAATTGTTTGTCAACCATATTTTATACCTTGGAGATCACAAATGGCCATTGAAAGTTAAAACACCTTTTTTTTTTTACAATGTCATCTAACACCACTATATTCAGCAAGAAGTTTGTGCACACCTTCTTTATTCACATATTATTTCGCATAAAACAGGTATTATTTACGAGAAACGAAAGTACCAATCACACATTACATACACGTATTGTTGACTAACTCCAAACCCAAGAACTCAATTTCAACATGACCATAACAAACAAATGCATTCCATTCCATCAATAACATCTTAAATATAGCACCCCTTCAAAACTATCACCACGAGTAAATTATTACATTATCGAGTGCACTACCGATTGAAGAAGTTTACCTTCTCATACACGTAGACCGCATAATCCATATCTTGTTTGTCCAAAAAGACTACACCTACGACTTACAGATGCATATGATAAAACCTAGGAAGACAGAAATCACCTGCATATAACATATTCTTTTGGCGCTTATAACTCCAATGCTGTTGACCACGTACCTTGAACGCTCGGTTGTTTTGTAACATGCCGTGTCTTCAGCTTCACCACCTTCCTGCCAAGCGAATTCCTTAGCTTGGTCGCTGCTTCAAGTACTTCGTCTTGACTCAAGTTTTTCACACATACAACACGCTCATTCTTGTTCTCTAATTGAAAAGCAAATCAGTACATACCCGTGAGAAGAAATCACAGGAAAAATAATTGGTTCTTAAATAAACTGATACAACAAATACACGAGGCATAATTAGGAATATTAACTTCTCAAAAAACATTTTTGTACAGTGCATGTATAGGTATTTGACTAGTTTGAACATGGTTGCGTGGTGGAAAAATGTGTTCGATATGACACATTATATTTGACACTCCTTGAGCTGTCAACATAATGTCTTAAATGCAACTAATTGCTAGTCATAGCCTATGGACAATATAAGGCTCGCTGGAACAATGAGCATAGCTGAATGGTAACTGAATACAGCTGATTTTCAAAGAGAGCAAAAATTTTCTTCTGCCAATCACCATTTGGACAGCTTTAACTTAGAGAGGGTTCCAAATCAGAATGGATTTCAGCAAGCAATAATGGAAAAGGCCAGTTATAGTAACTTCAGCTCCGAGTGTAATCCACTATCGTTGTGCCCCCTGGATATAGTAGTCGGAGAGTTTGTTCCCTCTGACCTAGTATCCTGGCAGATATATGAGAAAGAACGGGGAAACCACACAATAAAAGAATCTTTAAACATGGAGCGATTATCGAGTGGGAGCCTGTTTAGTTTCTCAATACCAGGTCAAGGTATGCCTAGGCAACCCAAGCAAAACTCATAAGATGCTATGGTCACAGTCAACTGAAAGTAACCTAGCTAATTTTTCTCTCTTCATGTACATCTCCCTTAGACACAGAAAGAATAATTGTTTTCAGTGGAATTGAGCGGAAACAGGGAGAAAGTCTTACTGTATAATCCCTTCAAGAAAGGATGTTGACCACGATTGAGTTCAGTGACCACCTCAAGATGCAGATTTTTCTCCTTGAGTGCTGGCAATTCAGACTCCATGAATGCCCTGCAATAGTAGATATATATCTTAATTCTTAACATGAGCCACATAGCTATTTTGTAATATATATTCCTCTACCTCAATCATCCAGAAACTAGCAGCCTATTCTGTAACCTCTTTTCGCACCTAAAGTCAGATTAATAATTGTTATTCCATTTCATTTAACCAATAAAAAATTTCAATCTTTTCCTCTCTCAACTACATGTTTAAACTTCAAATAGGACTGAACACCTCCATATGTAAAATTGCGCAACGGTACATCAGCAATACATCAAATTTCTAGACAGATACACTTACCTCAAATCACAATATATGCAGAAAGAATACTACTTCTTGACAGATTGCAACATGGGAAAAAACATTCATCTTATACCTAAATTGTGTTAACCTTCCGATAAGGTATGAAAAAGAATTTCAAAAGAAAGTCAGACTCATAACATTATACTACTCGATCCATTCCACTGAACAAGGAAATAGCATTGCTCCATTCATCCACACTTCAGTTGACCAAATTTCGCGAACACCAAAAAATATAAAGAACAAAGTTTGGAAGAGGTTATCAAATTGAGATGCATAAAAATATGTATGAAACACTTAAAAACATGTGAAGGTGGGATAATCATCCATAAAGATATCTTATCGTGGATGAAAGAATATAAAGTATAATCCTTTCTTTTTCCTCTTTAGTTTTTCTTCAAAATTGCAACTACAACATTTCCAATTGCCACATATCTTAGATATGTCGAATTAAAGCATTGATTTTCCAAAAGTTTTAGTTGTACACATTTCCTCTCTCATTTCATTCACCATTCTTATTCGAAGATTCCCAGTAGAAATAGCCTCATTATGATTCAGATTCATCTATAAATCCAATATAAACGATAAAAAGCTTCACAAGTTAACCTTTACCTTATTCCCCTGCTACTGCCACCCCAATTGCAATAGCTGACTACCAGCTTCCTTAGCTGCCAAACACCTCTTAGTGCCATCTGGATCAAACACATTCACAAATTCCAGAGCTCATCATTCACAAACAAAAATTGACGCCGCAAGTAGTATATGCAATATTGTTAAACGTGCAAGCTTTAGAATTGAATTTTTTGAAAAAAAAAACATGAAAATATATGAAGAGAAAGAGAGAAATACATACAATTTTATTCCGTCGGAGAAAATAATTTGCAGCAGAAAGAGATTGAGAGTAAGAAGTAGAACGTCGGCCGCCGGTGACTTAGGCAAAGTGTGAGCCCTTTACAAAATTGGGGCTTGGAGAAATTTCGGTTCCGGGGTCGGATCTATCCGTTAAAAAGAGGCCCATTAGTGGGGTAGAATTACACAAATAGCCACTTTTCAGCCATTTGATTGAAATATAACTAAAAGTACCGACTTTCTTTTGAAACTCCATAACTTATTTTATTATATTTTCTAAAATTATCTAGAAATTACAAAAAAATATATTTTCCTCTATCTCTCCTATCAGATACATCCCTCTTACGCGATGTATTGAGACATGTGTATCTTGTATCAACAAAGGTAATGTATTGGGACATTGAGCGATATATTGGGGTAGATGTGTCTTGTATTGACAAATGTAATGTATTGATACGCGATATATTATGTATTCGAAATCCTTAAATTTTAAGAAGTTTTTGTAATTTTAAAAAAATAGAAATAAGATGTAATTAGTTCTTACCATGATGGAATTTGCGTAATTTTTACTTTTTTAAAATCATCTTTCTCGATAAACTTTTGATAACAAGGAGTACTTTCTTAAATTTCGTTTGCTATCTTATATTTGAAAACAATTTAATTTTAATTTCTTGTCCTATCTTTTAATGAATATGTTTTGTTCCCACATGAATTTCACGACATATTTAACACTGTAGTTCAAATATTTTTCTTTCTTTCCCGAGATGGATATCCAATCAAAATGCGTAACATAAATTAAAACAAAATAAGTATTAGCTAATAGATTATAACAACATAATAGTAAGTGGCGGTGATAAATTTATATCTGCTCTATCAAAATTCAAATCTACACGATAATTAGCATGCCGAAATTATAATTAAATAAATAATATATTATCTAACAACTTGAATTTTTAAATTGAAGAGTCACTTTTATCTTTTATTTCTCTAAAGCTTATATAAGATCCTTTGATTTATTTTTACTTGGTCTTTGCTGACTTGACACTCCATTTAATAGATTATAAATTAGGAGTTTGTTTTACTAAACAATTGTTATTAATTGTGCTTTGAAATTCTAAATTTGATTACTATTACATGATATAGTTATTTAATGCTAAAGTAATATTGTAAGAATATAATTAAAAAAATTGATTTGTTAAAATTGACAAGCAAAAAGAAAAATATTTTTTTAATATAAGGGTCAAGTAAAATAAAACAGAGGCCAAAATAACTTATAAAACAACAAAAATGGAAAAGCTAATGAAACTACTCTCCAACCTTATTGATTCAATTGATTGGTTACCTAAATTTTCATATTATCATAGGAAAATTTATTTCCGGTTTTGTAACTTTCTCCCTCATTTCTCGTTTCCTATATATAATTTAAATTTTAAAATAAAATAAAACATTGGACTAAAACAACCAAAATAGACCTAATATTATTTGCTTCAAATAACGTCTGTACAATTTTCCTAAGGTTTAATTTTCTTTTCAACAACTGTCTTCATAGCTGACCAATAAAGGACCAAAGGCAGCTTCCAGTAAAGTGGATCGATTCTTCATAGATGTTTCAAGGAAATTACTCCAAAATTGAATTCCAATTTTAAAATGTTTAACTTTGAGCCTTTTCCAAGTAATTCAAACACATTTTTCCTACTATATACCTTTCATAATAAAGTCCACAAAAATTGCTATAAATTAAATCATCAAACTCAACATTGCACCTCATAATCTTTTATCACCAGAGTCGGAACTAAGATTTTGAGTTTATGACTTCTGAATCGTAGCAAAAATAGTTTAGTGGATTTTAAAGCAGAATTGTAACTCCGACCCTTATCATCATCAATAGAAGAACTATGGCATGCTATTCACCATCAATGATATACATATCCATTTTGATGGCATTTAACATGTTGGGGAATATCTACAGAGCATATATTCACGAGCAATATTCGCTTTTACCCTTCATCTTATTCGTTTATTTAAGCTTCGTCTTGTTACTATACTTCTCGTATGCATATCGTCGTTTTCCATCACAGGAAAAGTCATTGCATAAGGACATTATAGGACTTGTTATATGGTTCTTGTATTCAGCCATCATATTTGGCTTTGTCTTTCAGTTTTCACCGATTTTAGGCTTCTTGGCTGCTCTGTTTCTTTACGTCGTTGCCATTGCTGGAAGCGCCATTTTCTATTATATTTATGTTGTTTATGAAGAAGATGAAAATGAGAGGAAATGGTTTTGTGGGAGAGTGAGTTTGTCTCAAGGGGAATTTGATGTCATTTCCGAGAAAGTTTGAGCAGAGACGAAGTCAGGATTCAAACTTTATGAGGATAGCCACATGTTTAAGTAATTGAGTTTTGTATATATTTAGTGGATTTCTTAATGTAAATTGAGGATTTGGATTAAAGCTACTGAATTATGTTGAATTCGTATGTGACCTCCTAGTTTTGATGGGAGAAAAAATGAACACTATTTGTGCCTTTGACAAGCACGAACATAATATTTATACCATAGTTTTACAACATTCATTTTTATACTATCTTTGACAAGCACGAACATAATGTTTATACCATAGTGTTACAACATTCATTTTTATACTACTTTGACAAGCACGAACATGATTTTACGCCGGTCAGAATGTTTGTAGAGAACAATATAACTGCTAAGACTATTAACAAACTTCCAGATACATGTATAAACAAAAGGAAGAAGAAAAAAACAAAGATCAAGAATACATGTTCTATACAAAGGTACCCAAGCCCTCAAGGACCTAGTATTTCCTATTGAGGTGAATGCGCGAAAAAACTGAACGCTTTTGCTTCTTCGATTTAGTTCCAAAGATGAATGAGTGTAAGGGAATTCTTGATTTGCTCACTGTGTGCATCAAGTGTGCTTGGTTTCCGTTAAGTCCGAATTCTTGATCCAATTGTGTTATAGTCTTCTCAACGTCTAGTTGAAGTGTAGTTACACGACGAACACCAGCTTCTAGTTCCTCTCTTACCTTGTTGTTCTCTTGTTTCATGTTGAAAACTGCACCTTGGAACTTTGCTGCTTCATGAGTGCTCAATCCGATTCCGTCTAATGCAACTCCCACTTTTAGAGCTTTTGTGATTTCGTCCTGAATGCTGCATAAAGCTGAGAACTTGCGATCGAGTTCATCTTTTAGAAGCAATGTGTGTGATAACCACATTGTTAGTTCACTGTGAATCTCCTCCATGTGTTTATATAAATGCCTGATTTCTGATTTATCTTGCATTTCCTTGTCTTTAAGTTTGGATATTTCGAGCTGCAAGTCGTGGATCGTGGTCTTGAACTTTTGAACCTGATGGAATGTTGTGCTGAACCTTAGCCAGAAATCCAAGTTTTCGTCTAGAATTGAATTAATGCTAAACTGGATTTTCCCCTCAATTGGCGATAGTACTGATGCACGTTGATCAACCAAAATCGTCTTGATGTCTTCTTTATCGTGCTCTACTATAGGAATATCGTTGTCCTTCCTTTGAGGCAGCTCATCGGGTTTCAAGCTTCGATCAGATGAAGGATTTTCTACCTTCAGCTCTTTATCTTGATCAGAAGCATGTCCTTGTTGCATGAGACTCAATTTTCGACGTAGATTATGTATCTCTTCATCCCTCTTTGTGATAGCATATTTAAACTCTCTTATCTGAAGTGTGAGGTCGAACTCGATTTCTCTATCTCTCTTCTCCATATCACTTAGCTTCTTTGTAACTTCCTTATAATCCCTGAGAATTGTTTTATAGTCATTTAAGAGAATGTTTTCTTTATCCTCCAAACCGCTCAACAGCATCTGTTGCCAATTAAGATCATCCTCCTTCTCTGCAACTTCCTCTATTTTCGTCTCGTAAACTTTAGTTCCAGATTGAGCTGAGACTTTCTCATCGCCTTTTTCAGCTGTTATTGGCTGCAGAAATGTGACGTGCTTCTTTGCAGGTTTTTTAAATTCCCCTTTGTTACTTAGACTGGAATCGTGCTCTTTGCGAACTTCTTTATCTTTTTCTGTTATGGTACTTAAGTTCTTGAGACCTGCACCTGAACTAGGATGATCTTTTTGTGTCACTGGATCTTGTCTCATAGTCACTTCATTTGGAGATGAATCTGTTCCATTGAGCTCCTCATCCGGTTGGACACTACTCAATTTACCGGATAAATGGTCTATATTAGCACGAGCTTCAACAAAGTGAGTTCGTAGACTACTGTCTTGGTTTACAACATCTTTATTGATGTTCTCAATAGTTTCCAACTTTGCTTCTATCGCGGTCACCCTGATATTCAGGTTGTAGGTATCACCTGTCTGAGCTGCCTTATCGTCCTCCAAAGACTGAACTTGATTTTGGAGTTCATTAGCTTCTCTTCTTAATCTGTCAATCAAAAGTGTCTGAGATGCAACTTCTGTTTCTAGGCTGATCACCTTATTCACAAGCTCATCGATTTTCTCTGCCAATTGTGACATCGTTAAAGACCCTTTAGAGTTCGCATCCATTTGATCCTTAATCTTGTCTTGTAATGACTCTATCTCCTTACCAACTTCTTGGTTCAGGAATTTAACTCTATCAGCCTTCGGTTCATCAATTTGCTCGGGAAGATACTTATGCCTAAAGGACTTAAGTTTCTTACAAGAATCATCAATTTTGTTGAACTCATCTTGCGCTTCTTGTGTATATACATCTTGTTTCTCCTGGAGATGAGTTAATGTTTCTTGACATGATTGCAATGCTGCTTCAGCCATCAAAGTGCAAGCCTCAGCATCCTCAATAACCCGACCCTCGCCAAATTCATCCTCCAACGTACATATCTTTTGTTGCTTTTCCATGATTTGGTTTTCAATTCCTCTGTACCTTTCAAGTCCATTCTTGTAGGAACTCCTTATGAACTCTTTCACAGTTTGCAAGGCCAATATGTCTTTCTGAAGTTTGTCAATCTCTTCAATAGCCTCGTTTTTGGACAAACCAGATTTCGCGACATCATCTGTCAATTTCTTGCCTTGTCTTTGTTTTGTGGTAGTTGACATAAGACCTTTTAAGTCTTTTATAGGAGCCTTTGGTATGTTTGATGATCCATTTGGTGGAATTTGTGTAAAATCCTTTGGCATTCTTGGAGTTGGGGCGCCATATTCGTCTTCCTCTTCCATTGCTAGTTGAATTTGTTCCGGGCAGATAGTAGCAATTGTGTTGTTGGCAGTCTGTAGTTCCTTCGACAGATGATCATATCGTTCAGCCAACGCGCGATAGGCACGATAGGATTCTTCCACAAAGTTTATCAGCTCTGGCCTTTTCTTGTAGTACATTTCAGCCCTTTTGGCAAATGAATCTCCATCCTCTTCAATCAGCTTAATCACAGTTTCAACTCTCCCTTGCATATCTGTTAACACCATATGTATATACAAATGGAGTTATTGCTTTTCATATTCAACAAGCAAGAAAATGCAGGAAACAAAGAAAGGCATAATACATAAGTAGACATTCAAAATTTCGCCTCAGCTGGCAAGTAAACACTCCCACTTTAAGTATGCATATCTAAACACCTTTACTCGTCTCCAATGTGTCAGTTGAATATCCCAACTTACAAAATGATCATGTAGACACCTCCAAAATTTATGTGTCATGTAAGCATTGGGTGTCCACAAGCACAATGGAATGTTTAGTCGTCCATTGAGATCGAGTTGATCGAGGTGTCTAGATATGCACTCTCAAAGTTGGAGTGCTTACTTGCCAGCTAAGACCAAGTTCGAATGCATGTTTATGTATTATGCCAAAAGGAAAATGACTCGTTTGATTGACATCACTACCATAGACCATTTCGAAACTATGTTGCTTGAACTCTTTGTTCTCAACGGGTGCGTGTCGGATCTTCTAAATATAGTGCATTTCTAAAAGATTTGACAAGGGGTACGACAATATTTTTAAAAAGTCCAAGTAACATAGCTTTGAAATGAACCCTTTGATAATATTTTTCAATCGACCCCAACTAGCTTGAAATTGAGACCTAGTACATAATTGATGTTGTAATAAGATTGTGCAATCTAGCATATATCTAGAACCCTTTGATAATATTTTCTACCTGGTTTTTAAATTTAATTAAAATGGAGGGACAAAAGCAATACAATGCAAACAAAAAAAAATATTATAAAATGAAGAGGAGCTTATTTCTTCCCATCCATCCAACCACGGTGGACAAAATTACATGGTACATGTGATGGTACGAGATAATAAGCACCCAATGAAATTACTCGAGATGTCTACCAGCTAACATTGACACCACAATTAAAAATTAAAATGATTATCAAGGTCAATATACCTTGAAGGCTTTGTTCAAGCCATTTGGATTGTTTGGTCCTAATGTGGCTAGCAGCCCACCATGAATAGGCATTGCTTGCAGCTCTTTGCAACATCTTGTCAATTCTTGATCTTTTTTTTTCTTCTTTTTTAAATAATTCACATGATAAATGAAACTCTTCCTCTTTTTTATTTTATGTTTTCAAAAGAACAAAAATATTTTAGGAAAGAGGAAGAGTTTCAAACATGAGAGAAAAGCATAAGAAAACAAAAAAGAGAAGAATTAAGAAAAAGCTCAAGATTTTTTGTTAATTAGTAGATTAAAGAAAAATTAATTCTTGGTTTATGGTTGGGAGTTAATTTAGCTCCAAATTAAGTCATAGCCGTAGCAAATAAAATCACATGAATGTTGTTTATATTCGCCTTTTATTATATTACACTAAAGTAATCGAATTATTTTTTATAACGAAAAAATCATTCAATTTTATCTAATACGATAGAAAGTCATTCAATTGTTCTTTTAATGAAAAAAATGTTATATTTTACTCTGGTATCATAAGAAGTCATTAGCGATTGTAGCACCTTCTTGTACTTAATTATAACTAGTGATTTTATGTAAAATTTACACAAAGTTGAGATAATTTTTCTATTTTAGCTAGTGTAGACAATAAAATTCGCGTCAAGAAAACAATAATCAAGAACGGAAAAATATCGCAACAATCGTATTTATTATTTCAAGTGCGGGTGTTACAATCTCTATGATTCCTCTGAATTCGCATTTTCAAATATAAATTCAAGAGCTCTTGAGCTTGATCTTGAATTTGTCTTGAACTTGATCTTGAACTTAAACTTGAACTTTATCTTGATCTTGACTTTTACTTGAATTCAAGGGCTTCGAGCTTGTTCTTGAATCCGATGGTCTTGATCTTGATCGTTCTTAAACTTGAATGCTTGAATTCTTAAACTTGTAGCTTTATAGATAATTTTATGGCGTTTGTACCACGGATTTTCTCTAGCTTCTTGTTTAGGATTTTCTGTCCTCTTTTTGAATTATGAGGACCCCTATTTATAGTTTTAGAATAGATGAGTTGCGATTGGAACAAGATTCCCTTTGGCCAATCGGATTTAAGTGGCATGACATATGGGCTTTATGGAGCGGGCTTGTCATCTTTGACACATGTCATGATCCTATTCGCTTCCTGTTTGACTTGGCATGCCACATCATTTGCCATGTGGCACCAAAAATGGGCCTCTAGGATGAGGTCAAATTGGACTTAGCAAATTGGGCACATCTATTGTAGCATAAATCAATTAAATTGGATTTTAATTAAATTCATATTTATTGGACTTAAATAACTAGCCCAATTATATTAATCTACAATATTTATTTGGACTAATATATTCGTAAATTTAATATAGTCGAAATCATTTTATAAATTTATATTTAATAAATTTTAAATGATTACAGCTAAATTTGATTTAGATATTTTGTTGTATCTTTTTCTGAGAAAAATAAAATTATAATATCAAACTTTTGAAGTTAATGGTAAAATTGAGGTTGGTCTAATTTAATATCTAGCTTTAGAGGGAGAAACAAAATTGAATAAGAAAGATGTGTCATTTTGTTCCCCCTCTATTAATTAGGCCACATGTATTCTCTTTAAATTTTGGACCATCTCAACTGTTTTTTTAAATATGGCAATCATTTTTTAAAAAAGTGTTTGTAAATTTAAATATATTATGTATTTATTTATTTGATGTAAAATATTTACCGATAAGAGTAAGTTTATTGCAATTTGAGTATATGAGAAAAATCTTTCTCGCATATTCATCTAAATTTATGTGCCATGTTTTTTTAATTTGTTCCAAAATGCATACTTCCTCATATTGACTTTAATTGCATTTTATTCCTAATTAATAAGATACTTATAGTTATATATTTATTTATAATTTGATTTAGATCATAAATTTTGAACACTATACTCTCTTTCTTAAACAATCAACATAAGATTTGAAGGCGCTTACCTTAAGAGCAAACTGTCAAATTAAACATTTTTTTCTTTTACCTTAACGGTTTGCTCATAAAGTAAAAAAATAATTAAAATTACGCATTTCTAAGATCATTGAAATTGACTTCTTAAATTTTGTGATCGATCAAATAATACTATATAAAATGGGATAGAGGAGTATTAAATAATAAAATACTATTATCTCCGCCTCATATATATGACACATTTTCTCTTTTAATTTGTAGCAAAGAAAAAAAAGTATTCTACATTTTGCCGCAACATAACTTTTATATTTAATAACATAATTAGAATTATACAAATATTAATAACATGCTTTGAAACTATTAATCTGAATGTCATGTTTAGTAGTGGTTAATGTGGGTGTGGGGTGGGGGGGGGGGGGGGGGGGGTGAGTGGATGGAGAGGTGAAAACAAAGTTAATATAAATGAAGAATAATTCAATCCACCCATATTTAATTCATAAGATTAAAGTGAATTGGGTGGCAAAATGAGTTGGAAAGAAGATGAGTTGATCCATATTTATCTATATTTTTATGAGTAAATCGTATTATACTTTAGAGTACTCTACTTTAGAATTCAATATCCAGTTAGAGCTCCAATAATATGCTACTCCCTCCGTCTCATATTATAAGTCACCCATTTCTAAAAATAGTTTGACCAAAATATATATCATTTTATAAAATTTATGCATAAATTACCATATTTTGCCCATTATACCCTTGATTGATTAATTAATTAATTTTGAAAATGTATTTACTTTGACTAACCTAGGAAATCTACAAGTAATTAATTTCATTGGGAGAGCACTTCATTCATTAATTAACTACTCCCTCCATTCCATATTAACTTAAGCTTTGAGGCGTTTCACACCCTTTAAGAAAAGTAGGTTAGGACATAAATTGAACATAATTTTCCATTTTTACCCTTATTAATTATTGTCAAAAATAACTAAACATTAATTATAATAACTAATTCCAATACTAACTTAAAGGGTAAAATTGGAAGAATATTTTAAAAATAGTCTTGAAGATTGAAAACTTCAGTTAATTTGAAAAATGGAAAAGGGCTCAAAGCTTAAGTTAGTATGGAATGGAGGGAGTACTTTCTTTATTCACTACTTATTCTATAAAATCTGATTTTGAAAAAAATATCAACAAACAAATTAAAAATAAAAGATGAAAAAAAATTACAAAAATAATACTTGAAAGTTGAAGCTTCACAAATTTTATCAAAGGAAGATGACATTTCAAAAAGTTCAAAGGATGTAAAAATAGAAGACTCAACCAAAACATCTGAAGGCCAAATTGAGAAAAACCAAGATCCAAATAAAGGAGTTATGCACCATTTAAATAAAAAAACAAATGATTTGTCGAACTAGAACTAAAATTCATTTGTCGTCTTATTTCATCATCAATAACATCAGAGTCAGCACAGGAAAATTTAGATCAATTAGAAGTAATGAAATTTGAATATTTTGTGATGCTGTCATGTTTGCTTTAAGAATTTATATATAAAAATATAAAAAACATTTTACACAAAATAGATAGGAAAATTGAGGTGGGAAAAACTTGATTTTTTAATTTTTTTGGATCAATTGGTGAAAAAATTTGGCTACAAAAAGTAAAATTTAAATAGTCATCTAAATGCATTTATATTTTTGAAATCTAACATTTCATAATTTATTACAAAGTTATCATAAACAAACATTAAATAAGGGCATAAAGGTAAAATTACCTTATTTCTTAATGCAAGTGCAAATGAAAAATGTGACTTATAATATGGAACGGAGAGAGTAACAAACTTGCAAAAACATTCCACCTTACTATTTATCTACATTACATTTGAAATTAAAATACAATTCATTAAGACGTGATCTAACCCTGATGCCTAAGTTCCAAAACACATATTCGAGACCAGTTCTCGAGTCGGAGTCGGTGACCAGCAAGATTTGTTATGATTCTCTACCTAACATTCCTAACATGACACGTGGTTAAACAAGAAGGAACATTTCATCACCACTTCACTACGACGTCGTTTTAGTTGCCAATCTCTTTACTATTAATGGAGTTTTCCACGGTTTTGAATAATTTTGTCAGCTAAGCGTTGACAGTTGAGAAGCAGATTCAGTAGTTCATCTGCTCACCAACACTGATTAATTTCTCATAAATACACTTCTTTCTTCAAATACCCAATTGGGTTTTTTGATTTTTTTCCCCAAAGTTTTAAGCTTTTTGGAGTCTGTCAATGGCTGGAGTTTTATCAGTTCTAAGACGCATTTACCTCACACTTTACAATTGGATTGTCTTTTTTGGATGGTAAACTTCAATACCCACCTTTTATTTTTTCTTCTGTCTTCCTGTATCGTAAAGGCGGATTCAAGATTTAAACTTTATGGGTTCAATATTTAAGGTTCTTGAACTTATTGTAGTTTTGAAATTATGGGTTTAGATTTATTATTTGTTGCAATTTTAATGAATTTTACTCATAAATTTATGTTTTGCCTTGAAAATACGGGATTCAGGTACCTTGGAGATATGATCTTTTTTTGGGATTGAACAAAGTTGATTGATTGATTAGTTTATGTTTTTTTCATTATTAATTAACTGTAGATCTGAGATCTTTAATTGGAAATTTCAGGTTTCAAGTTTTTTATCTTGCTGTGAAAACTCTGAAAGAGTCTGGGCATGAACATGTCTATGATGCTGTAGAGAAGCCTTTGCTTTTAGCTCAAACCGCCGCCATTTTAGAGGTAACTCTCACCATGGCTATGTAAGGGGCGGAGCCATGGAAAATTACACTTTATATATATGGTTACAAGTTAGTATTTTTATAAATATATAGTTGATGTTGAACCCTTATCGGCGTTTTCTTGTGTTTACTGCTTCATATTTTGAGCCCCTTAATGAAAATCCTGGCCCAACCTGGTTATTATCATGTTGTATATAGATGGGTATATTTGTGGAGGTGGGGTGGTGGGTGGAATGCTATTTTCTCATTAGTTTTGGGTAGTTGGAATATGAGGTTGATGAATAAATGAAATTTTAGACATTTGTTATTCAATTTGCTTAAAAGATTGAATTTTTAATACACATGAGGGAATATCTAT